AACGCTTGGGGTCTGGGGCGGGGGGAGGGGGCGTTCTTTGCTCAGAGAAATCTCTCCGTGGGCTTGGGGTTGGGGTCCGCCTGGCCTGTCACCATGCCCACTCACGGCGCTCTCAGTTAGATGCCCGTTTCTCTTAAAATAGCAATAAGATCCGGTGCCTATTTCATGCTTCACTAAAATATTTAAATTGAAATGGCATTTTGTTTTGCTTTGGTGAGTCTGGCTTGGTTGCGTTTTAATAATCCTTTTGCTCCTAGTCACCATCTCTCTGCTGTTGGGGTGTCTCGGGTAACTGGGGGGCTTCATGTCCCCTTGCTGTCGCCTGTCGTGCTGATGGATGGAGATCTGGTGGATGGGGACAAGGGCGCTTCTGTGACATTTATCCTCATAGAGGGTCTGGATGTCAAGCTTCTGCCCAGTTCTGTAGTAGCAAAGGGGAGTTTTAACGCAGGGGTGCTTGACTTCCTTCCTTCCTTCCTTCCTTCCTTCCTTCCTTCCTTCCTTCCTTCCTCGTTCCCTCCCTCCCTTCCTTCCCTCCCTCCCTCCTCCCTCCTCCCTCCTCCCTCCCTCTCTCCCTCCCTCCCTCCCTCCCTCCCTCCCTTCCTTCCTTCCTTCCTTCTTTCCTTCCTTCCTTCCTTCCTTCTTCCAAAGAGTATCCAAGTGCCAAAAATGAGACCGTGAGGTTTATACACTCTTGAGGTGCTCCCTCAGTGATGCAGGGGAATGATCCAGGCAGAAGCCCCCCACCCCCACCCCATCGCCCTGGGTCTGCGTCAGCACCCAGCTCCCTCCAGTCAGGATCCCTGCACCTTTCTGACCTTTGGAGTTTGCATGGGGTCTGGCATGGGTGTTGAAGGCAGCTTCCGCCCGCTCAGAACCGTTGAGTCAGGGGTGCCCAACAGTGCCAGCTGCCCTGATCTCTTGGGCCTGGGCCTCATCCCAGAGGGTCCTAGGTGCCTTTACTGTGTCTGGATTTTCCCAGAAAGCACATTTCAGTCAGGCTGAGCATCCAGGGATGCGCCCAGGGAGGAAGCAGAGACATGGGAGGCCACTGGAAGGTGGAGTATAATTCCATAGGAAGCGCGGAGATCTTAATTCAATATTAGCTGTAATTAGCCCAAAGTGCAAATGTTGGCAATATTAATTAGGGTCTCTCCGGAACGGCTGTCAGTGTTAATAAGGAACAGTGGGGGTGCTCACCAACATCTGGTTAAGGACTTTGGGAACGGGAGGGTGACCGAGCCCCCCCTACCTGGATGCCAGAGAGGTGGCCCCAAGGTATGGCCTTCCCAGTGGGCCCCAAAGGACAGGTTTGCAGACAGTGACAGTGGGGGTTTCCGGGGAGTGGGGGAAGGAGTTGACTTCTGGTGGCATTAGGAACTTCTACAGCCAAGCTTGGGGCTCACAATGGAGAATGTCCCACGCTGCTGTACCTGTGCTCACCGCCTGCCTGCAGCCCTTTAACCAGCTACTGGCATGCTGGCCACCTTGAATTCCCCCACCCCCGCCCCCAGCCTCTCTGGTCCCCGTGGACTGTCATAGACCCTGACCAGGTGATAGACATCTGATCATCTGCTACCAGGGGTCATGGGGCTAGAGGGACAGAAACAAGGTCAACACACTTGCACGCGGCTCACCCTGGTTCTGTCCCCCGCCCTACACAGGGTCCCCTGAGCACTGCCAGCGGGTACCTATGAGCACAGAGCCAGGGGTGAGTCCTGAGCACTGCTGGGGTTGTCCCTAAAACAAAACAGTCAAACCAAGGGTGCGGTTCCCCTCCTGCAGAATCCAGCGAGCACCCATGGTTGTCCCTGCCGTATCTGAGGGCCTCCCTTCCCTCCTTTGGGGTCCTGCAGCCCCACCAGGGACCCGTCTCCATCTAAGATCACCCCAGGGTGCCACCCATGAGGTCGTGACTGCAAAGCGCTGCCCACACTGTCATCACCAGCTCCCTCAGGGGAGGGCTAAGGGGACGCCTTTCCGGGGAGCCCCAAAGCCTGAGATCTGTACCCAGCCCTCCTGAGGCCTCCTGATACCGGGCAGGGGTACAGGGTGGGACCGACAGGAGTTCAGGCTGGTGTTGAGCCTTCCCCGTGGGCTGGGGGCCAGGTACGCCCCCTGTGCTTCTGGCTTTGCTGCGGCCTCTGTTTCCTGCCTAGACACAGCGAGGCCTTGGAAGGCAGCTCACGTTCTCATCAACAACTCTGCCGCAGGACTGGGACAAGTCTTTTCTGCAAAAAGTCAGATGATTCAGGGGTGCAGGACTCTGGGCTATCCTGTCTCTCTCACCAGGATTCTCATGGCACTGTGTGTGTGTGTGTGTGTGTGTGTGTGTGTGTGTGTCCCAATAAAGCTTTATTTCCACAAGCAAGGGATCTAGCCCTTGGGCCGGATCTATCCCAAGAGTCATTTGCCAACTTCCTCCTCCTTCGCCCGCCCTACCTACCTCCCATTGCCAGATAAAGCTTTCCAGAACCTGCAGTTTATTGGGGTGCACTCAGAGAACACTTGTAAATGTCTTCCCTGAGCTAGCATGGGGGGGTGGAGGGAGAAGGAGCCACCGACGCCCACCCATGGGGTGTGCAGAAATCTGTGGGTCTGGCCCATCCTGGGAGTGTGTGTGTGTGTGTGTTGGGTGGGGGGGTGTGCACAGGCTGCTGGTATGAGAGATAACAGGCAGTTCTTAACAGGGACGGGAGAGAAGCAGGGACCAGCGGGGAAGTGAGGCGGTGGGGGAAGCGGCTTTCTGGGCACTGGGGGCAGGGCCGGTGCCCCACATGGGGTCCGGGACTGCGTCTGGTGGGAGCCCCTGGCAGAGGTCGGCCACTTGTGCCCTCTGTCCTCTGTGCGAATACCCCAGAATGACAGCGGGGTTCACCCTGGGGAGAGTGGAACCCGCACTTAGCCGCAAGGACAGCAGAGGGACCTTGGGGTCCCTGGACAAGGGGGAGGTTCGCATCTCATGGCCTGAGATCCAGCTCCATACAGACAGAGCCTCCCTGGACGGCTGGCTAGGAGGGGGGATGAGCTCAGGGCAGGAGAGGAGGTGAGCACAGGGAGGAGAGGAGGTAAGCACAGGGAGTAGAGGAGGTGAGCATGGGCAGGAGAGGAGGTGAGCATAGGGAAGGGGAAGAAGTGAGCACAAGGGAGGGTGGAGGAGGTGAGCACGGGGAAGGGAGAAGGTGAGCACGGGGATGAGAGGAGGTGAGCACGAGGAGGAGAGAAATTGAGCATGGGGAGGAGAGGAGGTGAGCATGGGGAGGGAAGGAGGGGAGCAGAGGACTTTTAGAAATTAGGCGTTGGGGAGACAATGGCCAGACCGGCAGGTTCTCAGGAGGGAAATGCGCTTCCTGCAGCTTCCGTGAGTTTTTGCCCAAGTGTTGCCTCTCACAGTCCCTCTTCGGGCGTGGGAGGTGGTATTTCTGGCTGGAGGCCCACACCCGGGGGTGCCCAGGGCTGACTCTCGACTCTGCACGCTGGACTCTGTCCTGGGGGTCTCGGAGACCAGCTGGGTGCCAGGAATGGCAGCAGGGTCAGCCCCCGGGAGCCCAGCCCTGTTCCCTCTGTGCTCAGTTCCAGCCCCTGCTCTGAGGAGAAACCGACTCCCCCTGTTCCTGTCGGGGGCAACAGCCAAGAAGCTTTAATTGACTCTGGGGGTCCAGTATGTCTGTTCCACACAGACCGGTATGTCCGATAGGTGTGAGGTTCAGAGCCATGCCCTGTGGGCTACAGACCCCGGGGAGACAGGTACTGGGTCTACAGGGGTCCTGATGGCTGAACATCCAGCCCCCATGGTGCAGTGCCGTCTCTGGATGTCGTGGAAAAGTTGGACCCTGGGTTACAGTTACTGGTGTGTGTGTGTGTGTGTGTGTGTGTGTGTGTGTGTGTGTTAGTAGTTATGGGGGTGGAGGTGGAAATAGATGTAGCCTGGAATGGAAGCATTTGAATTCAGCTTTAAAAAATTCCTTTGACTTGACTGTAATTATCACACTGCGTTTTGCTGCGTTCGGCAGGGCAGGGCTGTTATATCACCCTTTGTGCCTCTAAAGGAAGGAGGCCGGGGTGGGCTCTGCAGCAGTGACCCACAAAAGAGGGTGGCCCGTCCAGGAATGTAGCAGCCATGGGGCCAGAACGATTGCACAGCAGGGAGGGCGTTTGCCTTGCACACAGTCAACCTGGGTTCGATCCCCAGCATCCTAGAGGGTCCCCCGAGCACTGCCAGGAGTAATTCCTGAGAGCGGAGCCAGGAGAAACCCCTGAGTAACCCCTGGTAACCCCTGTAACCCAGGAGTAACACACAGCTCTGGGTGTGACCTCCCCACCCACCCCCCCCAAAAAAAAACCACCAGAAATATAGGAACCACAGCTGATGGGGAAATCAGTGAAAGTTATCTTTGTCCAAATTAGGGCCCCAAATTTCCACCAGCTGCTTCCCCTTGGCACCGGGATCGACACACACACACACACACACACACACACACACACACACACATGAACACACGCAGACACATGGACACCCTAGACCCTCAAAGCAGCCCCCGTCACCCATTATAGGCGCCAAGTCATCTAATACTTTGATTAAATCCAAACGCCGAGGTGAATCCTCTCTCCTCTCAAGAACACACACATCCAATTTAATCTCTCTTGGCATTTTAAGTATCAAATCAAGGCTTTGCTGCCGCTGGAGACAACTTCATGCCCACATGTTCCAAAATGGGAAGGAAACAAGGAGAGGGGGCGGGGGGGGTGCTGGAAAATCCCCGTCCTGCCTCCTCAGACCCCACAGCGGGCCGGGGGTACCTGGGGGCTGGGGGCCAGAGAGCCCAGCCTGAGGATGCACTCAGAGGGTGGGTTGTCCATCTGGGGGTGGGGGGGTGTCTCGGTACAGAATCTACCGAGTGGTGGTTGGGGGTGGGCAGGGCTGGTGGCGGCGTGTCCGCGGGTGAAGCATCTCGGGGCTGGCCCCCCTCACGCTCCCCCTCCTCTGTTTCCCCCTGCAGGGTAACCAGGAAGCAGCAGCCGCCCCGGACACCATGGCTCAGCCTTACGCCTCGGCCCAGTTTGCGGCCCCCCAGAACGGCATCCCCGCGGAGTACACGGCCCCCCACCCACACCCCGCGCCCGAGTACACGGGCCAGACCTCCGTCCCCGAGCACACGTTGAACCTGTACCCGCCCGGCCAGTCGCACCCGGAGCCCAGCGCGGGGGACACTGGCGCCCAAACCGTGTCGGGCACTGCCACAGTAAGTCTGAGCCCCCCCACCCCCATGGGGCAGGGGCTTGGGGAGGGTCCTAGGGTGGGCAGGGAGGGGGTTCTGACAGCAGGACAGGGGGCACAGGGAGACCCTGGCTGGGATGACAGCAGGTGCTTGGGGTGGTTGGGGGCACGTATACTGGCTCCCTCCGCCCACAGCGGGCAGGGGCTCCGCTCCCGGGGAGCTGGTTGGTGCTGAACCCGCCCCGCCCAGTCGCTCCCCTCCCTGCTGTCTCGCCAGGGCTCCCCACAAGCTCAGTTGCCCTTTGAGGCACTGAGCTGTGAAGGCAAGCACTCAACCCTTCCCTCCACCCTTCCTCCTGCCTTTTATGGCACCGGATCCCATGTGCCCTTTCGGAACACAGCTCTGTGGGACTAGGATGGGCCTGACACTAAATCTACCAATTTTCCGTGTGTGTGCATGTGTGTGTGTGTGCGTGTGTGTGTGTGCGCGTGTGCGCATGCATGCGTGACCACGTAGTGCCTTGGCTTTGAGGGGCGTGCAAGCCATACTCAGGTGGAACTTGGAATATTTCTTTTGCTTTTTGGGTCACACCTGGCGATGCACAGGGGTCACTCCTGGCTTTACACTGAGGAATTACGCCTGGCAGTGCTCGGAGGACCCCATGGGATCTGGGAATCGAACCCGGGTCGAGGCAAACGCTCTACCCAACCCTACCCTACTATCGCTCCAGCCCTGGAACTTGGAATATCTCTGTCACCTCCCAACCTGAGGGGTTGCAGGCCCCTAGGCTACCTTGCCCCAGTCGGCCGGAGTCAGGCCACAGAAATGTGTCTGGGCTGCTACAGACCCTAAGATTTCCCCCTTTATCTCACAGAACAAGCAGGCGGGGAAGCCTTGGTCCCTTCTTTGCCAGGACCGGCAAAAGGGCATTTGGCCGGCCTGTGTGTGAAAGGGGGTGGGGACCCAATTCTGTGGCCCAATTCTCTGCACGTTTATCTTCCTGCTCAGCGGACAGATGATGGGGTCCCAGAGCAACCCACACTCTGCTGTCCACACCACGGAACGCTCGTGTTCCTGGCTAAGAATCCGAAACAAAAACTGCTCCTGGCGTTAAAGCCGCATTTCTGGGAGGGCCACACTCTGTGGAGGGAACACTGCGTTGGAGATGCCTCGCTCTCCAGATTCCCTTAGAAATGTGGCCCAACCGAACCTCTGGTCTCCGCGGTTCCTCGGTGCAGGCCGTTCTGCTTTTGGTTTCTGCTGAAACCTCCAGAAATTGTTTGAAGCAGCGATGGAGCTTGTTGACTTACACACACACACACACACACACACACACACACACACACACACACACACACTCCGGTGGCGCTCGAGGATTTCTCCTCCTTGTTCTGTGCTCAGAGATCCCTGCCTGCCGTGCTCAGGAACCTTATTGGGTTCTGAATACTGCCACGTGCAACACAACTCCCTGGGCTGTTTCTCTGGCTCTTAATAATACAAATCCTAATTTTTTTTTTTTGTCACTTGCCCCTCAGACCCCTTCTTACTGTGATAAGATGCATCCGTAGCATTTAGGCTATTTTAGCGCAACTCGGGAGGATTAAGGATCCAGTGTCACCGCTGTCCCACATAGACCCGGGATACGTGTCACAGCCCCGAACGGAATCCTGCGTGTGGGAGGCACGTGGTGCTGCCTAGGTCTCCCTCGGTCTCCCTCCCACAGCCTCGGCACCAGCCCGTTTTTGATCTGGACTTGTTCATACTGGATATTTCATCAAAGTGGCCCCGGGGGTGGGGAGCTTGCCTCTCAACTCTGCACCCCAGCCCGGGTTGGGTGGGACGGCACTTGAGCCCGGGAATCTGAGGGCCCCTGGCCGTGATGCCTTTCCGGGTTTGGAGGATGGAATTCATGGCGGGGTGGTTGGTCAGTTTCTCTCTGGCCTGTGAGAGCGGGCATTAGCACACGGCCAGGGGAAGTCTGGAAGGAAGGAGAACAGGAAAGGCTGGAATTCAGGGGTTTGGGGCTCCGTCCTGTGGGCTTCGGGGAAACTGGCCTCTGGGTGGGGACGGGCAGAGTCATGGTGGGGGAACGGAGGGGATGGGGGATGCTCTTTTGTCCCTTTGGCGGGCGGGAATGTGTATCCGTGTGCAGACCCGCTTTGAAGCTGTGCTAGTCTCGCCTCACTGAGCAAAACGCGCCAAGCCTGGATGGATGTGGGTCAGCTCCAAAGTCTCTGCACCCTCAACCCTCCCCTTAGTGCCGGGTCCCTCTTCCCTGTGGTAACCTCTCCCCCCCACCCCCACCCCCACGCAGGGCACCCTGTCCGGAACGCCCTTTGTGGCCAGTGACCCCCGGAGGTGTCCAGCGGCAGGGAGGCTGCAAGGAGGCTGGCCAGGGGCCCCCGCAGCTCAGAGAAGCTCCGAGTGGCTGGGGGTGAGAGAAAACACCCATCCATCTGGCCGCTCCCAGAACGGCTCATCTGTGCCCACGACTTAACACCCAGCGCGGATTCCGTGAAAGGGGCCCGGCAGGCACGAGCTTCCCCAGCAGAGTCGGGGAGAAGAGCCCGGCTGCCTGTGCTGCTCCCCGTGAACACCCCCCCCTAGAGGGTGTCCGGCTGGACACTCACTTGCCTCCTGTGGGCAGATTCCCTAGGGGCTTCCCCCCCCCCACCCTGTGGCCCTGCTCACTCTGGCAGAGCCTCCCCTGGATTCCGGGAGCTCCTGCTACCCCCTCTGACAAGGTCTTTTCCTCTTGACATATTATAATTAGAGATTTGCAAGTGGTGAATTCTCCATGTATCTCCAATGGCAACTTAACGTCTATTTTTAACACCTCTGCAGTCTGTGGAAACGGCTCCCACCCGCTCTGGGGCCTGCTGGGAGGAGAGCAAGCCCCCCCCACCAACACCCCACCCCACCCCCCACCCCCAGCCTGGAGCCTCAGGGCTGAGCTCCGGATGGGGAGGAAGATGGGGAGGGAGCCCAGTGCTCCTTCCTGCTCGCTGACTCCCTTCAGCAGTGCTCACTGGCTCTCCAGATGCGCCTTTAGGACCTGGGTCGGGGGCACTTGATGCCTCGAACCCTTTTTCCGCACCCTTTGGTCTGCCTCCACAGCCAGCCGGGTCCCGTGCCTCATTGCCCTTCCTTTGGTTCTAAAGATGGTCCCCAGAACTACTGAAGCTATTGTTCTGGTCAGAGTCGAGGTATCGGGTTCTATAACCCTGACAGTTCCACGCTCCTGCCGCCCCCAGACTCCCATCCCCGCCCCCCTTCAGGGCCAGCGGTCACCCCGTACCCCTTCCGTTTCCTTCCAGGAACGGTATTCACACATGCTCAAATCAGCCTTAGTCGGCGGGGATGGGTGTCACCTGCACCCTAGCCCGGGTCGTTGGCTGCAGGTCCCAGACACTCCTCGCCATGTGGGGGGCTGCTACGTCCAAGGGGGCAGCTTGGTGGATTCGGGGTCTGGGGAAGGCCGCAGCCTGGGCCTCCTAATCCCATGGTGACTTCATGTCCCAAAGGCCCTTGTAGTCTCATCACTGGAAATGAGGGGCCCAACTATGCATTTGGGGGAGGTGACACGTTCCCTCTCATAGGTCCACCTCTCTCTCTCCCTTTCTCTTTTTCTCTCCCTCTCTCCCTCTCTTTCTCCCTTTCTTTCTTTCTTTCTTTCTTTCTTTCTCTTTCTTTACCTCTCTTTCTTTCTACCTCTCTCTTCCCCCCTCCCTCTCCCTCTCCCTCTCTCAGTCTCCCCCCTCTCTCTCCCTCTTTCTCTCTCTTCTTTCTCTCCTCTCTTTCTCCTCTCTCTCCCTCTCTGTCTCCCTCTTTCTCTCTTTCTCCTTTTATCTCCCTCTCTCCCTCTCTCGTTTTCTCTCCCTCTCTCCCTCTCTCCCTCTCTCTCCTTCCCTCTCTCCCTCTCTCCCTCCCTCCCTTCCTTCCTTCCTTCCTTCCTTCCTTCCTTCCTTCCTTCCCTCCCTCCTTCCTTCCTTCTTTCCTTCCTTTCTTTCTTTCTCTTTCTCTACCTCTCTCTTTCAACCTCTCTCTTTCCCCCCCTCTCTCTCCCTCTCCCTCTCTCCGTCTCCCCCTCTCTCTCCCTCTTTCTCTCTCTTCTTTCTCTCCTCTCTTTCTCCTCTCTCTTTCTCTCTCTCCTCCCCCCCCCCCCGATTTCCTGCTCGCTCCCTTCTCTAAAGAACAGAATTGAGATCGACTTGGCGCCCCCCCCCCCCAACACCGTCATCCGTCATTCCTGGGAGCTTGATCTGCCCCTGCGCCTTTGTGTGTCCTTGGTCATGTTCAAGCCTGCGGTTGGCCTTGGGGGTTGTGGGGGGTCACTTGCTTTTCGTTTAGTCCCACCAGGCTGTAGGGAACTTGGGCACGGCTCTCCCCGTCTTGGGTTTCAGATAGGGGTCCCGTGTCTCACCCCCACGTGCACCCCACAGGCAGGCTGGATAGACTCAACATGACCCTCTTCACCCCGAACCCCAGATCTGTGGTCACGGCCATCCTGGCTGCATGTGCTGACCGGGGCTACGCCTCGTCTCAGGCTATGGGCGGTGAGGTGGGGGACTCGGCGCTGTGTCTGGGGTCCCGGCTCCACCTCCCCCTCACACCAGCCCAGTGACCCCATTTCACAGGTCGAACAAAAGGTCTATGAGGCTTGAAGACATTGGGAGCTGGGGGAGCGTGCTGAGGGGAGACCCCCATCTGGAGGCCTTGGGGGCGTGGCCAAAGTCCCCTTCCGTTTCCGGGCACCCCCAGAGAGCCTCAGAGGCAGGTGGGTGACCAAGAATGCATGGACTGGAGTGTAGACCTGGCACTCCACCAGCCCTGGGTTCAAACCCTGGCACTGCATGATTTCGCTGAGCACTTCCAGGAGTGTCCCCTGAGCACTGGGACAGGAGCATCCCCAAGCATGGCCAGACTGCCACAGTGTCAAGCACTGTGACACCCCAAAAACTAATATGAGTAAGCTTCATGACTAAGGCCTGCAGGCAGAACACGTTGGCTAGAGTAAGATGGAG